AGAAAGCCCACAGAGACACTGAAGGACCAGAAAATCACCATGCTTCATTGTCCCCAGTCCCAGCTAAAAGTGCTTTCTGTCAGTAGTATTGTGGACTGAATGTGTGTTGCTTAAATTCATGTGTTAGAGCCTGAACTGCCAAGTACACTGTTTTGAAAAGGGTTCTGACTTTTTGGCACACCATGGTCTATAGCCCACCAGAATCCTCTGTCCGTGGGATTTCTCAGGCAAGAATACTGGAGGGGCTTGCCGTTCCATTCTCCAGGGAGTCTTCTAGACACAGGGATAGAACCTAGGACTCTTCCATTGAAGGCAGATTCTTTACCGTCTGAGCCACCAGCAAAGCCCGTTAAGGTTAAATGAGCTCTTAGGGTGGAACACTCATCCAATAGGTTTAGTGTCTCCACGAAGCGAAACACCAGAGTATTTTCTCTTCTGTCTCTGTGTCTGTGTGTCCTTTCCTCTGTCTCTCTTCCCCACCCCCCACCCTGTGTGAGGACTCACGGAGAAGTCATTCTGGGAAGAAAGAGTTCTCAGCAGAGCGTCACCTTGCTGGTGCCCTGATCTGGGACTTCTAGCCCCCAGAGCTGTGAGGGAATACATTTCTGGTGTTTTTTCCCTGAGTCTATTGTATTCTTTTATGGCATTCCTAGCTGACAAATACTAAATCATTTATTTTGGAAATTTAAAAAAGAAAGTGAGTGAAAGGAAATTGAAAAAGTTAATACACTTCTTAGGATTCTTTCAGATTTCACAAAACTGGTCCTCTCTTCGATTTCCACGTCTTATGAGCTGACGGTGTCTTTAACCTAGAGAGTGTGTTATTTGAAGTTTGGCTGATGTAGCCCTCTTGTCGAAAGGAAAGTATGGCCCAGTCACTTATGCGAAGGTACCTTCTGGGATCCTTGTGGGCTACGGTCCATGGGGTCGCAGGAGTCGGAACCGACTTAGCACCTAAACCACCACCACCACAGTACTTACAAACTCATTGAACATTATTGTGGAAAGGTTCTGCATGTCATGGGACAGCCTGGAGACATGGCTAAACGTATTTCTAAGGAGATTCAGGGGGACGCCAAAGACATCAGAACCACAGGACGGGCATACGTTGCCTTGGCACAGGAGCAGATTTGACAGGACCAGCAGCAGGAGCAGGCGGCACCCTGCTAAAATAAAAACATGAGCCATTCTGAGATGATCTAGTCACCTGAGGTTATCAAATCCATCCTGTGAAGGGAAACCTTCTCTTTCCCTGTTGGTCTGAGCAGGAGTTGGTGCTGTTGTAGCTAGGGTGCAGAAGAAAGAGCTCCTTCTGTGTGAATTTAGATGAATGATGACATTTGCACAGATGAAGAGTTGGAGAAGTAGGTCACTCCCTGCATTTTTGTATTGCTCCAAGAGGTACTTCTATACTCTGCAAACATTTGGAAGTTAATTCTGAGCCAGAGTATTTAGGCCATTCTTTTAAGACAGTTTAATGTGGGGACTCTGCAGACTCTGAGCAGCGAGGCCCTCTAGGAGTTTGTAATTTTTTCACTCTACATTGACTAGTGCGTGAATTTTAGACACCGAAAATGACAAGAAGTGTACAGTTGATCTGTGTGGCTTACCATCATGCTGGGGTAAGGGTAAACACGTGACTGACTGATCGCTCCTACTGAGCACAGAGAGAAGACTCAGAGAAAAAGGACACCGTGCCTTGGGGCTGCTAACTCAGCTTCGTAAGCCCATGCAGGGTTTTGATACTTTCCCAAAAGCTTTAAAACATCTTAAAATGTGTGTTTCACAGTAACCCTGTGAGATAGCCTTCATCTTCACTATGATCATCAAGTTATGTTAATGAAGATGCAATGCCTTGGAGAGGACAAATAATTTTCCCCAGGTCCCATTATTAGCAGATGGAGGTGACTGGGCACCAATGCAGTCATCTGTCCACTTCCTGATGTCACATCACACATGCCTGTGGGCTCCCGGTCTACATGTGTGTAACCAGGACCATATCAGGAGCTGTGATGACTCTGCTTAACGCGAAAAATATTTTGTCTTTGACTGCAAAACAGCAGTGACCCTAGAACACTGGTTTTATCCACTTGTTCTGCTCTGTCTATAAAACACTCACTGTTAAAGTCTTTGACAACTATCAGTGTGGGGGCCTGGTTTTCCTGGCTAGGCTTGCTTCTAGGCAACTTGACAACTCTTCTACTTTTAAGCATCCTTAATCTGCTCATTACATTTGTTTCTTTGAGGAAATGGCAGGTAAATCTCCAAATAGTAATACAAGAATATTACCTGACCAGCACCCAAGACAGCGTCATTGGCTCTGTGAACAAAGCCCTGACTTTAATGTTTTAGGGAATAAATTCATCTGTCTGGTCAGGAGTATATCCTGACAACCCATGGGGCTTAGTTTTTGAACCATCTCCAAACATCACTGCTTGATAGGAGAACTAGACCTTCATGCTTCCATTATGTATTTTAATATTTCAGAAATTACTTCTGGCCCTACTTTTGGCCAACAGAAGCATAAAATCATAGACTCTTGCAAGCTTGATTTTAATATTACTTTCCCTGTCCATCCTTTGTAAGTAAGTAGAATTTAAGACTGAAGTGAGGAAGAATAGAGTTTGGACAAGAAACTGATTAAACAGGAATTCTGTCCTCCTGAATGAGATCTGAACATGATTCTTTTTCCAATTTACCAGAAGAGTGGTAATTTATTTAAATATAAGATATCAGCATTTACTAGGTTTTCTCTGCTCTTAGTTACTTTAAAGGGGCATGGTATCTAAGAATAAAATGGTTATTTAAAATTAGGTGATAAAAATCAAAGAACTGGTTCTCAAAAAGAAGATATATAAGTTGGAGAAATTTGGGACAATCTCTCTCATCAACTAAAGAGCTTATTGTGACAGGCAAGGAGAATAATACCTTGTATAACATAGATGTATTTCTGTGTATATATTCTGTGCATGTATACATGTGTTATGAAAAAATATATGCTTAATTCCTACATGGAACTTTGGACCTTATAAAATTCAATTTTATAAGTGGCAGTAAATGTAACAGAATACCCTAATTCTTAATGTAATTGATCATTTGTTGGTAGATGACTAACTATATGATATATGATTCTTTTTCTGTTAAATTGCTATTTGTGTGTTTGCTTTGGTAGCATATATATTAGAAAATTGAAATAATACTGAGAAGATTAGCATGGCCGTGGCCCAAGGATAACACAAAAATTTATGAAGCCTTCCATATTTTTCTCTAACAGCTTCAAGGGGTCCAATGGGAAGCAAGATGGGAAGGAGATTCAAGACTGAGGCGATGTAGGTAAACCTATGGCTGACTCATGTTGATGTTTGGCCGAAAGCAGTACAGTATTGTAAAGCAATTAGGCTTCAATTAAACATCAGTAAATTTAATGATTAAAACTGTTACTGGGGATCATATAACAGGTTCAGATATCCATTGTATGACTAAAGAGGATATGACTGCAAACTGATGGTGTCAATTATCCTTGGTTAGAGATTCATTAACTTTATAGTTGAATGAGAAAAGTAAGCTAACAAACACTATTGTCTGTGACTCAGTATCATAGCAAGCTATAATCTCTTTACGATTTACTTTTCAGACCCTTTTGTGCTTTGATTTTTCTGATGCTCATTAGTGTATTTGCTTCCATGTTTACCTCTCTGAGTAGTTTTCAGTCTCTACATATACCCTGCCCTATTCACTTACTGTCTGGATTTTGGCGTTCAGCATCAGCATACTTTTATGAACTTCATTTTCCTTCTGGTGAAGTTTCCGGTATACAGTTTAAACTGGTTGGCTCCCATCTGGCTTTTTCGTGTTGTCTCCAAAAAAATTAGAGAGCTATGCTTTCTTTCTAGGCAATACTGCCCCTTCATTTAATACCATTGCTAATTTTCTGTGATTTCACCTCCTGCCTCATAAGCTTTGTCTTTCTCAGTCTACTCTAACTTGAGTGCTATGTGTCTCTATGTTGGTATTACTATTTTATTTTATTTTGTTAATCTTATTTGGAGGCTAGTTACTTTATAGTATTGTATTGGTTTTGCCATACATTGACAAGAATCCACCATGGGTGTACAAGTATCCCCATCCTGACCCTCTTCCCACCTCTCTCCCCATCCCATCCTTCTAGGTCATCCCAGTGCACCAGCCTCGAGTACCGTGGATCATGCAGCAAACCTGGACTGGCAATTCATGTCATATGAGATAATACACATGGTTCAATGCCATTCTCCCAAGTCAGCCCACCCTCGCCCTCTCCTACAGAGTCCAAAAGACTTCTATACAACTGTGTGTCTTTTGCTGTCTTGCATACAGGGTTATCGTTACCATATTTCTAAAGTCCATATACTATGTTAGTGTGCTGTATTGGTGTTTTTCTTTCTGGCTTACTTCACTCTGTATAATAGGCTCCAGTTTCATCCACCTCATTAGGACTGATTCAAAGGTATTCTTTTTACTGGCTGAGTAATATTCCATTTTGTATGCGTACCACAAGAGTTAAAAGGTGTGGTGATGGCAATGTTACTTAATAGAAAGGGAAACTTGTTTCTAATACATACACAAATGGGGGTTGACAAGATGATGATTGGGTAGTTGGAAGTGGGGTACACCTCTCTCCACCAATGCATCAAGAACGTGTAAAGACACAGCAGTTCTCACAGAAGACCAGGTGAATACTGGCAGGACTCCATGACTACAGAGAAGGAATATCTGGATCCACACAGAACTCAGTAGAAGAAAGGAAAGAAGGGACAAGGAGGAAGGGGAAAGAATGAGTGAGCAGGTGGGACCAGCCTGCACCTGGGGCTTAGGGAGCTGAAGCACAGGGGAGATCCCCACCCCCATGGCCATCTACTGGAATGGGGAGTCATTTGAAGCTGTTGGGGAGTGAACTAACCTATCAGTGACTGTCTGAATGGAGTGAAAACCTCATAGACAAGCCATGCTGCTGCCTTTCATACCTCGGACAGGGTTGTAAGTCCACTGGTGTCCATGGAAGCTGAGAGCTGGAGCCATGGGGACTGCAGAATGATCTCAGGGTGAGAAGTCCTGTTGACCGTGGGGAGTCAGCCGGTTTGGATGAGAGGGAGGAAATCTGCTGCATCTAATGCTACTTAAGGAAACCCACGAGGCCATAAAAGTAGGGTTCAACTGCCTGTGGAGTAGAGCTATCTCTTTCTCCATGCTGGTACCTTTAGTTTGAGTTATAGAGAAGACTTCAGTGAGAGTGGTCCTTGAGTGCCTGATGCACTAAGCAATGAAGAGTTTTGAATGTCTATATACACTACCCTACCCTGTTCTCTGTCTAAATTGTGGATATTAATGTCATAATATTTTTATGAGCTTAAATTTCTTCTGGTAGAGTTTCTGGTTCACAAATTAAGCTAATTCCTCACATCTGGCTCGTTCTTGGTGTTTGAAGAAACTTTGAGAACCTTCCTCCCTCTCAAGGCAATACTGCCCTTTACTACCATTGTTGACTTCCCACACTTTCACTTCTTCCTACTATATTCTATGTCTTTCTCTATTCACTGTCACTTTAGTAGTATGTGTCCCTATGTTGCTATTAATATTTATAATAAATTATTAACCCAATGCAGTAGAGAATCAAAAGGACTTCAGTTTCAACACTAGTAATAAATTACCCCCAAATAATAATCCATTAGTGCTCCCATTTGAAACTGATTTTCTATCGATATATTAGTGAGGTTTCTGAACTCATTTACCTTACTAGGTGGCTTAATTTTAAAAGGAAATATGGAAACAATGGACCTTCCTTTTTATATGTCTCATTAGTTAGTATGCAAGTATTAGTTTTGCTTTTCTTCCCCTCTGTGAGGCTGTTCTTAGTACATATTATAGATCTCTGTGGGGTGATTTCTATTGACTGAAGAATGTACACTGTGAACTGTAATTGTCAAACAAGTGAGTGGACATGAAGAAAGTAATGTCAGGAAGGCACAGGCTTTTGTTGTTCTAGCAGGAAAACCGTGCAGTGTCTCTCATCTACAGTCTAATCTTCAGATTTATTGAAACTCTTACTTTTCTTATGTTCCATTAAAAGTTTGGATTATTTGGGGTTTTTTGCCCTCGAGTTGTATGTCTCATGTATTTTTTGATATTAAGCCCTTATGAAATATAATTTGGAAATATCTTCTGTCAGTCTGTAAAAAGCCATTTGATTTTGTTGATATTCCTTTCTTTGGAGTTTGATGTGGTCCCACTGTTTGTTTTTGCAGCTGTTGCCTTTGCTTTTAGTGTGAGACCCAAAAACTCACTGCAAAGACCAATGGCAAGAAGATTACCTCAATGATTTCTTCTAGCTGTTTAATCACTTAAAGTCTTACGTTCAATTTTTTAATCCCTTTTTAGTTGATTTTTGTGTATGCTAAAAGATGGGGGCACAGTTTCACTTTTTCATAGCAATATCTAGTTTTCCCAGTGCCATTTTTGAAAAGCTTCTCCTTTCCCCACTAGATATTCTTGGTTCCTTTTTCATAAGCTAACAGACAATATATGGGTGTGCAGTTCTTTCTGGCTTTGTTGTTCTGCTCTGTTGATCTATGTGTCTGTTTTCATGCCAGTCAATCAATATGAAACATGTTTCCTTTTGTGTCTTTTAAACATTTCTTTCATGAGTGTCTTGAATATTTTTTTACATAGATCTTTCAACACCTTGCTTAAATTTATTTCTAACTATTTTAATTTTTTGATGCAATTATAAATGGAATTATTTGTATTTCTGTAATCTTCTGGTGTATGGAAAGGTAGCTGAGTTTTATATATTCAAATGCAATATACAAAATATATGCTATTTTTTGCAGAATAGACAATTTTCCCCCCAAATAAGACATACAGAATCCCAAGAAGTATACGACAAGATGCTCAACATCATATCAGGGAATTGCAAATCAAAAGTATAACACCAACCACCTCACTCCTGTTTAAATGGCTTTTATCAAAAAGTAAGAAATAAGTGTGACTGAAGATGTGTAGAAAATGGAGGTCTTAATGGATTCTTGGTAGGAATGTATATTGGTGCAACTCCCATGGAATACCTTTGGGAAGTTTCTCACGAAATTTCACACTTTTGCATATATATTCATTCCTGAATATATATTCAAAGAAAATGAAGTAATTACCTCAAAGAGAAATCTATACTCCCATATTCACTGCATCAATATTGACAGTAGCCTGCGGCTGCTGCTGCTGCTAAGTCGCTTCAGTCATGTCCGACTCTGTGCGACCCCGTCCCTGGGATTGTCCAGGCAAGAACACTAGAGTAGGTTGCCATTTCCTTCTCTGATGCATGAAAATGAAAAGTGAAAGTGAAGTCATGTCTGACTTTTAGTGACCCCAAGGACTGCAGCCTACCAGTCTCCTCCATCCATGGGATTTTCCAGGCAAGTGTACCGGAGTGGTTGCCATTTCCTTCTCCATCACAGTAGCCTAGAAACAACCTATTGTAAAAAAATCTAAGTATCTGTCAGCATGTGAAGAGATTAAAACAATGCAGTGTGAGATATATATATATATATATATATATATATATATATATGAATTTTGTTTAGCCATTAAAAAAGAAAGAAATTCTTTCATTTGTGGCAGCATGGATGAAATTGGAGGGCCTTATGCTAAGTGAAATAAGTTGGAGAAAGACAGATACTGTATGACCTATTTGTAAGAAATCTTAAAAAAAAAAAAAAGTGGAACTCAGAAATGGTGTAGGAAAATGATTGCCAGGGCTTGGAGAGTGGAGGAAATAGGAACGGGTTTGTAAAAGGTTATACATGTTAACATATGAAAATTATAAGGTCTGAGGATCTAATGTGTAGCATGATGACTATAACTGATAAAATTGTGTTGTATAATTGGTGCTGTCTAAGAGAATGGAACTTATCTGTGTTCTCTTCAAAAAATAAGATGGAAACATGTCAGATGATAGCTATGTTACTTAAGTTAGTAGAAAGGGAAACTCTTTTCTAATACATATGTAATGAGGGTCAGCACTATGGCAGAGGGGTAGGGGAAATGGCATTTGGAGTGGGTTGCCATTTCCTCCTCCAGAAAAGCTTCCTGACCCAGGGATTGAACCATCGCCTGTGTCTCCTGCATCGCAGGCAGATCCTTTAGCTGCTGAGCCATCAGGGAAGTCCTAGCAACTCTACCGTGTGACCTAGAAATTCTACTGTTGGGCACACACCCTGGGAAAACCATAATTCAAACACACACATGTGCCGGGAGCCAACTCACGAGATCCCACCCATGACAAGGTCATGAGGAGAAAACCTGACAGGCAAGGAGGTTCAGGTTTTCAGGGATTCCGAAAAGCTGCCCCCGGCGCTCACCTTGAAGATGATATCTGTCTTTCTGATGCTTGTTTCAATAGAGTACTCCCTAATTTCTGTGACACAGGCAGAAGGGCTTCCCTGATCTCTTTCCAAATAAGAATCAATTTAGAACTTTAATCAATAAGTTTCCTGGGTGGTGGTATCTTATGAGATTATCCAGGATGAAAGGAGTGTTTTAATTTAAACTCCTTTGCTGGCATTCTAGTTTGATTAGCAAATGCCTCTATGCCCTTGGTACTAATATGCATGACTGCTTATAAAACCCTAATCATAAAACAGCATAAAGAACCTGATCATATAAAGGCCCTAATAGACATAGATCCCTTCGGGGAGTGAGGAAGCCCTATTAGAAAACACAAGAAAAATTATTCTAAAAGTGGCTATTGGGTTAACATTTGCTTGCTGTGTTTTTGCTCTTAATGTGCTAAGGTTAAGTTATGGAAACCACTGTTAATATAGTTAAAGATCTAGAAAAATAAGAGCTTAGCCCTAGTGTGGTAACAATGAGATGGTTGTTAATTGTCAGCCAGGAGTGCTAGGCAGAGGCTACCTCACTGAAGCCACAGAGTCTGTATGGGGTAATCCTCTTAGATAAATTCAACTGACAACTTCTGCAGAAGAATTGATCTTTGTGTTAACAAGGTTATAGTTCTACTATGTTGTGACATGCTGTACTGTTGCCCTAAGAGACTGAAACTTTTCTGTTAAGATCACCACAGAAACGAAAAATAGGTTTACATTCACCTGACTTGCATAAAATGTCAATAGGCCAGAAGGCCGGAAGATAATGTACAAGACCCTCATAGACAAAGAAGTATGCAGAAAACACCCTGGTTTCATGAAGGACAAGCTGATGGAATGTTAAACTATCTTCCCCTTAGAAATGTACTAACTTAGGGTATGAATGCTATGGCAAAAAATAAAGCATTATCTTTCTGGCTTATTTCACTCTGTATAATGTGCTCCAGTTTCATCCATCTCATTAGAACTGATTCAAATGAATTCTTTTTAATGGCTGAGTAATATTCCATAGTGTATATGTACCACAGCTTAGACCATTACAGTATACTAACACATATATATGGAATTTAGAAAGATGCTAATGATAACCCTATATGCAAAACAGAAAAAGAGACACAGATGTACAGAACAGACTTTTGGACTCTGTGGGAGAAGGAGAGGGTGGGATGTTTCAAGAGAACAGCATCAAAACATGTATATTATCTAAGGTGAAACAGATCACCAGCCCAGGTTGGATGCATGAGACAAGTTCTCGGACGTGGTGCACAGGGAAGACTCAGAGGGATCGGGTGGAGAGGGAGGAGGGGGGATCGGGATGGGGAATACATGTAAATCCATGGCTGATTCATGTCAATGTATGACAAAAACCACTAAATATTGTAAAGTAATTAGCCTCCAACTAATAAAAATAAATGAAAAAATAAAAAATAAAATATAAATAAAAAAATAAAGCATTGCCAGACTCTGCTGCACATGCCCAGTCTGGTCTGTCTCTCTTTCTCTCTCTCTTTCTCTCTCTCTCTTTCTCTCTCTCCCTTTCTTACTCTCTCTCCCTCACTGATGCCGTTCATCCTGAGGGAACCCCTGGTTCTTGCCAGTGCTAGAGCCTGGCACACGTGTACCCCAAAATTCATTGCAACAGTG